TGCATCTGCGCGCCCTGGACGGCATGAGCGCGCTGCATGCTGCCGCCGCCCGCGGACACTACTCTCTAGTCGTCTGGCTGGTAAGGGGGACCGGGTGGGGACAGGGGAGTCCCCGGAAGGCTGGCCCCAGCTCCTGCCTACTCCCCAGAGTCCCTCCCAGCAAGCAGGGCCTGGCTGCGGTGGGGGGCCCACCCCCTGGATCTGTCTGCCCACCGCAGAACTGGGGACCCACAGGGTTGTTGGGGATGGATGTGCCCGCTCATCGCTCCCAGCAGCGTGGGCAGCAGGCTCAGGCAGGGCCCGGGATGCAGCCTCGAGTGCACAGCTCAGCAGCCCTTCCCCACTCCCCAGGGGCCTCCTCCCCAGCCCTTCCAGCAAGCCAGCCTCACTCCCCCTCTGCCTGGCAGGCAGCTCCCCAGGGCCCCTCTACCGCCTGCCTGCCCACCTGGCTAGGATGGCAGCCACCCTGTGCCCAGCCCTCTGCTCTCCTGCCGTCTTTCCTCCATGGCACCAACACCCGACACACTAATTCTGACTTCTTTATCTTGGTGGTTGTCTGTCCCCACCCTGGGAGGCAGGGAGTCTGTCCAGCTGCTGCGTCTCAGGGCCTGGCATGCAGTCAGGGCTCTGGAGATGTTTAGTGAGGATGAAGTCCCCCTGCTCACCTGGGCCTCAGAGGCCGCCAGCGGTCACCTCCAGCCTCCCTTTTCCAGCACCTCCTGCCCCTCCCCCCAGGCACTCAGCAAGGCCTCACCTTGGCACAGGCCAGGTCTCCTCCTGGGGTCCTCCTGCCAAGTGGCCCCTGCCCCGGAGAAAGCCCTGAGGCTCTCCAGTTATCACCCCCCTGACAGTCTGGGGCGTTGTCCTCACATCCCCTCCCTGTAGGTGTGAGCCCATCCATTTCAGACCTCGGCCTCCCCTCACCTGGAGGATCCTGGGCCCCGGGTGGGTCCTGGCCATCTCTGGCAGCAGGGCCACGCATAGCAGGTGCTTCGCATATGAAGTGAGCCAACAGGCCGTGTGGTGCCCAGGACAGGTGGGCAGGAGGGAAGAGGGACCTCTGAGCCCCCCAGAGGCTCACCCCAGGGAGGGAGCAGCTGGGGCCATGGGGCCCCGGACCAGAAAGGCCTTTCCAGATGGACTCCCTGCCCCCTTCCCTGTAGGATGGCCAGGGGGGAAGGCAGCCTCCATCCAGCCTGGCTTACCGGCCCCAGCCTGGGCACCCTTGCCCTTGGGGTGCTGGCTGGTGGGAGGCCTCTGTCCCTCACAGACATGGCTGAGGGTGGGATGAGCCAGCAGTGCTTTGGGCTACAGGTGATGCGTGGACCGAACAACCAAAGCCCGTCCCTCCCACAGAAGGAGCAGGAGGCTGTTGACAGTGGATCAACCCTGTGGGCTCGTCTCTGCTGTTCCCTGGCCTTTCCCTTGGGGTGAAAGTTGGCCGCATTCAAGGCAGGAAGAGGGAGTAAAGGGCACCCACATCCACCAGCCTCTTCCTTCAGGAAGGCAGGGTGTTCCTGGAAGAGGCCCTAACGTCTTGTTGGCAGACTAGGTCAGCCTGTCCCGAGGCCACAGTTCAGTGTGCCCATAGAAGTGGGTGGGCACCCCAGGGTCTGCCCCTCGCATCCCCCCCACGGCAGCTGAGTGCTCTGGACCAGAGATTACTGGTGCCCTCACAGAGGTGGTTGCCAGCAGGACAGGGCCAAAGCCACAGGATGACCAGGGTCCGAGTCCCGCGCTCTGAGAGGCCGGCAGGACCTGCTGCCCAATGTCCCTGCCTGCATCTGTGCTGGGGGAGCTCAGGGCCCAAATGAGCCCAGTGCCAGAGGCTGTAGACATCTGTTTGTGGTCTTCCAGGTGCCCTCGAGGTGTTTTGCTCATTGGATGTGTGAAACCCGCCCTGGAGGTGTTCTGCTTAAGATTTGGGCTGGGGCAGATTTGGGGACTGCAGGCTCCCAGTAAAACCAGATCTCACCCCCAAAACACTGTTCTGGAGGTGCCAGGCTCTGGGATGATGACAGGCTGAGTGTGAGGAGCTAGCTCTGTCCCAGGGCTTCCTGGGGAGTGGTGCCCTGGCCCCCAAGGTCACCTCCCAGGGCTCCATGTCCTCCTCCTGGTGGCCACCCCCAGGAGTGCTCACCCCATCCAGCCTCACCTGGCTCCTCTCCCCCTTTCTCCAGGTCACCTTCACTGACATCGGCCTGACCGCAAGGGACAATGAGGGGGCCACAGCCCTCCACTTTGCAGCTCGAGGCGGCCACACACCCATCCTCGACCGGCTGCTGCTGCTGGGCGCCCCCATCATGAGAGACTCCTGGGGTGGGACCCCCCTGCATGACGCCGCGGAGAACGGACAGATGGAGGTGAGGCAGCGCCGGGGGACTTCTGTTTAACTCATCAGTCAGTGAGGAAACTGGGAATTCAAAGTGACTGTATATCCACACACACAGACTTACCCCCCACGGGTGAGGGATGAGGAGGCTAATACACAGATAGATGGGTGCAACCCGGTCGGCGTGGCAGGCAGGTGACCGACTGATTGTACTGCGTCAGACACAGACACTCTGCCTTTCTCTGGACAAGAGGCACTTGTGGTACAGTGTTTTACAACCTACAGGTGCTGCCTCAAAGGCAGTGAATGAGAGCAGAGGCAGCGCAGAAAGCGTGTGCCTGGGGCACTCAGTAAGGACTCTTACTCATTTGGGTGCCTTTCTGATTCTCCCCGATGTGCGCACTGGGCTGTGTCCTCTGTTCCATTGCACCTGAGCATTTACAGCAAAATGCACACTTGTTACATTATATCTTTCTCTCTTCACCTGTATGTTAGAGTTAGAGGGGGGTGCTGATTATTTTAAAAGTATGTGTGCAGCCCGGCCAGTGTGGCTCAGTGGTTGAGTGTCGACCTATGAACCAGAAGGTTATGGTTCGATTCCCAATCAAGGCACATGCCCAGGTTGCAGGCTTTCAGTGTTGGGCGTGCAGGAGGATACTCTCATCATCATTGATGTTTCTATCTTTCCCTCCCCCTTCCTCACTCTCATCATTGATTGTTTCTATCTTTCCCTCTCTGAAATCAATAAAAATATATTAAAAAAATAAAAAGCATGTGTGCAGGTAAATTATAGCATACTCGTATATGGAGTTCGTTTTAGAATCCTGACTGAGGCGTCAGGAAGCACTTGTGATAAAAAGGGGGCACGGGGACTGACATTAGGAATGGAGGACCCTGCACTAACTCATGCTCAGGGTGCCTTCCAGCCCTGCGTCCTCTGACGCTGTCGGTCTGGGGTGATGGTTAAGGTCATGGGTTCTGAGAGCCATTGCTCTGCACCCAGGCTGCCCACTTCTGGTGTCTGAACGTGTGAGGCCTCTTATCCTTCCTGGTGCCTTGTTTCGTCTTGTGTAATACGGGCCCATTAAACCCACGGGGCCGGGGAGCTGTGAGGAGGCCCAGGTTTCTACCCAAAATGGTGCCTGGCACAGCGAGGGACCAGGGGAAGGCCTCACTGCCCCATCTCTGGGACAAGCTACCTCCTGGGGGTGAGCATGATGGTCCCCACAGTCCCGACTGTGAGAGAGCTAGTGGGGGGTGGGCGGTGGAGGGAGAGCCAGAATAGGATGAGGTTGCTGTTTTAATGTGTTTTATGTCTACAGTTTTCAAAAACCTATATGACATCATTATTTTTTATTCAGGACATGAATAAAGACATATTCAAACATAGCCACAGATCCCCCCTTTTCCTCTCAGGCCCATTCCTTCCGGCGACTTGGACCCCACGTGAAATTCCTTTCCCTCAGTCTGAGTGAATGTTTTAGACGGTCCCTTCGGCTGGGTTTGCTTCTTGTTTCTTTTTGTTTGTCTGGAAACATCTTTATTTCATCTTCAGCACATTTTTGCTGGGTAGAGAACTGTAGCTTGGCAGGTTTTACATATTGGTGCTTTGAAAATGTCATTCATCCCTTTCTGGCTTCCATCAAGAGGTCTGCATGGGAGTCACTGTTTGAAGATCATATTTTCCCCTCTGGCTGCTTTTTAAAAAAAATATATCTTTATTGATTTCAGAGAGGAAGGGAGAGGGATAGAGAGTTAGAAACATCGATGATGAGAGAGAAACATCGATCAGCTGCCTCCTGCACCTGGGGATCTAGCGTGCAACCAAGGTATATGCCCTTGAGAATCGAACCTGGGACCTTTCAGTCCGCAGGCCAACGCTCTATCCACTGAGCCAAACTGGTTAGGGCCCCTCTGGCTGCTGCTAAGATGCCCATTGTGTCTGGTCTTCAGCTGTTTTGCTGTGATAGGACCAAGGTGGATGGCTCCTACTTGGGACTGGTTGGACTTCTCGAGTTTGTGCTTGGTGTTTCCATCTGTCTGTCAAGTTCTCAGCCATTCCCTCTTCAGGCACACCCTCTGCATCGACTCTGTCGTCTCTCATTCTGCATTTTCGTCCTGGCTGTAGCTGCTTGCTGTTTCGCTGTGATAGGACCAAGGTGGACGGCTCCTACTCGGGACTGGTTGGACTTCTGGAGTTGTGCTTGGTGTTTCTGTCTGTCTGTCAAGTTCTCAGCCGTTCCCTCTCCAGACACACCCTCTGCATCCGCTCTGTTGTCTCTCATTCTGCATTTTCGTCCTGGCTGTAGCTGCTGGATTTCTGTCTTCATCTTTCTGTCTGGCCGTGCAGTATTCTGGATTGCTTCTTCGGGCCCATTTTCTGTTTACCAGGTCTTCAGCTTCATTCTTTAACTTGGTTATTATTTTTACTAGAGGCCTGGTGCACGAATTCGTGCACGGGTGGGGTCTGCCTGCCCCAATAGCGCGGATCAGGCCAGGCTGGCCAGGGGGAGGGGATGCAGTAGGTTGGCCGGCCAGCTCTGCCCACTGGTTGAACTCCCTGTCGAACTCCCGTTCCAGGGGACAATTTGCATACTAGCCTTTTATTATTTAGGATGGTCTCCACCTTGAGTTAGTCATTTTTCAAATCTACATGTCACCCTGATTACGGTGGATTGGGCCAGGCTGGCTAGGTGGAGGGATGCGGTAGGTTAGCTAGCAGGCCCTGCCCCCTGGTCGAACTCCCTGTCAAACTCCTGTTCCAGGGGACAATTTGCATATTAGCCTTTTATTTATTTATTTTTTTAATTAACTTTATTGATTTTTTACAGAGAGGAAGGGAGAGGGATAGAGAGTTAGAAACATCGATGAGAGAGAAACATCGATCAGCTGCCTCCTGCACACCTCCCACCGGGGATGTGCCCACAACCAAGGTACATGCCCTTGACCGGAATCGCCAGGCTGGCCAGGGGGAGGGGATGCAGTAGGTTGGCCGGCCAGCTCTGCCCACTGGTTGAACTCCCTGTCGAACTCCCGTTCCAGGGGACAATTTGCATACTAGCCTTTTATTATTTAGGATGTTCTCCACCTTGAGTTAGTCATTTTTCAAATCTACATGTGTCCGTTTTTATGGTTTATCATTCCATGCCTGTACTTTGCAGCTTGGTCTTTATTTCTTTGAAAGTCGTAAGCTCGGTTGCTTCGCAGTCGGTCATTCTGTTTCTGCAGGTCTGTTTGTTCGTGTTCTGGTCTCCTTTCTGCTGCTCCTGGTCTTGTGGACTGTACGATGCACATTATATTTGAGAAATGATTTGCAGGAGTCATTTGAGGCCCGGGATGTTGTCTTGATTGCCTCTGCCTGTCAGCATATGTGTGACTTGCGAGCCCAGAATCATCTGAGTCCGCGTTCCAGGCGTGAGGCTGCCTGGAGCCCCTGCGTGATGGGGAGCGCGGGCTGGCTCTGGTTTACTCTCCTCCGAGGGGCGCCCTCAGCCCGCAGCGGCAGGTGGTGAGTCAGAGCCCACCTTCGCAGGCCCTGGTGTTTGCTGGTCTCCCTCCTCCCAGGAGGCTGCAAGGACCCCCCAGGTCATGACTTTCTCCTGCATCAGCGCTCTGAGTGCCGGGCTTATTCCTCGACTCCTGTCTTCTCTCTTGGCCTGCTGATTCCTCGCTTGCTTGTTGCCTCTTCTCTGCTTCAGGAAGGTGACTTTC